TTTTTCTGTCTAATAGTAGTGTTTGCAAGGAATGTTTTTTTTCTTACCTTGTAGTTGTTGAAAGAATCAGTGGACAGCAGACCTGGGAATGTTCTGACTCTGAGATTGCCAGCCCTCTGATTGTGTGTATTTGTTTGTACAGTACAAGTGGGCGTAGAGATAGTCAGTCAGACATCCCTATTTCTTATCTTCTATTCATATTACCAGAGCTCTCTCTGTTGGTGAACACAACACTTGCCTATATTATTGTAACCTTCACTATGTATGTATATGTAGATCTGTGTTGAGACATTTAAAGCACAGTTTGATCCTCCTGCGTTGCTGTGTTGCTAGATGACCTTAGCATTGGTGGAAGGCATTTCCTTTCCTGGGCTCAGCTGGTAAAAGAACAGTATTGATTTATGTAGGACAATGTATAGAATTGTCAATACAAAGTACACGTCTGCCAAAGTTAAAGTGTAACTAAAGCCAAATTTTTTTTTCTCTGTTTTAAATATAGTAGAAAACATCTGTATTTGTTGTCCCATTGGGGAAATTTTCCTTTACTCTCTGCTCTGTTGACAAAAAGTGAGATAATTCTACATTTAAATGGTTGTCGCTGAACAAGTGTTTTTATTGGAAGAGTTTCTCACTATTCCTATTCTGATGACAACTTGAAATTTTGGACTTTCCCTTGCTTTTAATTTTGGATTTTCCCTTGCTTTTGGTCCTGGTTAAAAAAAAGGGACACCAGGACAAATAGAGAGAGTGAATCTCCCCAGCAAGGACACCTACAATAAAAACCTGCAAAAAAAAAAAAAAAAACAGAACCCACTATTAACTGGGAAAACTAGTTCTTGGATATGATCTAGGCTTCTATTGCCGTCTATAAACTGCAATATTTACAAAACATACAAGATTTAAACATTGCACATATTTTTATATTCAAGGTCATTTAATTATTTATAAAGATCTATTTTGTGTTGTCCCAGGGGTCGAAATTGCTATTTGTCCAATAGATATGTATTATGAAAAAATGGTAATCTCCTAAATTGTGCTGAATAATTTTGGATATTTGAGGGTGACAACTGCCTCAATGAAGACTATTTTGGTCAATGGAAGGTGGCTATTACAGACAGTGAACAAGAAAAAAAGACAGTCGCAACGAATGCAGTGAATAAACAAAAGAATAAAGCTGTGGATATTCCAAAATTTACCAGTATACCAGGCAGTAATGCAGCAGGCATAATCAGACACACAACCATGCTGTATGACTATGACTACTCACAAAGTATTGTAAGAGACCCACATTCCTGAGACATCTATATCTATTTTAAAAACTCTGCTTTCCAAAAGATAATATGGTAGTATGTAGGTTTATAAAAATTGCCATGCCAGTGTTAGCATAGGATAACTGCATGCTAATAGATCCACATTGTTTCACATGTGAATTATTGCCACCTCATGGACGGAGACCAAACTACTTTACCGGGGCCCCACACATAGAAGAATAACCTATAATAATAATATCCTTTACGCATGTCAGCGACACCTTTCCCAACACCGACTATGGAGACATTTTGAGAGATGCAGCATTGAGTCACTCCACAAGCAAATTTCACACTGTACACTTCATTGTGCCAGGCCAAAACTAAAGAATGGAGCTACCACACTTACTGCACGAAGCTTCGCACAGCGTGGTTTCAGGCCCAGTCCATAAGAGAGTTCCATTCTGCAGTGGGCTCTAATATAGGGACCCAGCCGCTCAGTGGAGCTCCAAGTACTAAGCCAACCGCCATCACTGGCCACCAGAGCTCCCTCTCCCTCTCCCAAACTTGCTGCTCCTTCTTATCACTCCTCACTTCAGAAACTCAAGGGTTAACTTGTAATTGTACATTTTGTTCCCCAGTTCATCAATAAGCAGTTAAAGTAAAGCAAACTAGCATTCATTCCTCAAAAGTAAATAAAGCCAGACATCTTCTTTTAACCAGTACCTTCTTATACTGTAGTAACATAGTTGGCATACATTCCTTTAACAGTTTCCATTGGGGTTCATTGTTCGGTTTTAAAGGGATGAGGTGACAACCCTACCTGTAATGAAGGAGGTGCAGAGTCTAAGTACTAAGCGGGGTTCTCCAGAGCTCCTGATGATGGAGATGGATTTTGATACATGTTAGTACCAAGTTGTGGTCCTCAGGATCACCTTATCAGGAGGTGAGCAAGCTGGGGTCAAGAAGCAGATATAGCAGGGATAAGCAAAAGAGTAGTCAGTAAACAAGCCAAAAGTCTGTAACGAGTGGTTGCAGGTTGGGATCAAGCGGAAGCGTAGTCGAGAAACAAGCCAAAGGTCGGTAATTAGTGGTAGCGAAGATACGGATAGTAGTAAGAGTGACAAGATCAAGATATTGGGTGGAGACAGCACAATAATCTGGCAAAAAGGAAGTGCAGAGACATGGCTTAAATCAAAAAGTTAATGGGAGGTGCAAAGGTTCAAGGTTTAAGATAAACAGGATTCAAGGCAGGATCATTCAAGGAATTGTCCAGGGAACTGTACAGAATCCCAGGTGGCTGAGCAAAAAGAGACATCCCCAGATGCTGCAGAGTTTGCAGGTTCAGATCTGGGACCTGATAGTACTCCCCTACTCCAAGGTTGTCCCCTGGACGTTTATGGCCAGGTTTGTGAGGAAACCTCTGGTGGAATTCTCTTGTTAATCCAAGAGCATGAGTGTTCTCCTCAGGCTCCCATGAATCTTTTTCTGACCCGAATCCTTCCCTTTGCCCCAGATATTGTAATTTATTCCTAAAGATCCTGAAATCATGGGGCATGTCCAAGATGGTACCATGAGCAGACATTTAGCTGCGAGGCTCCCTATTCCTGTCATGATCCTGACTTACCACACGGTGGTGCAGATATCATTGATAGTTTTGACCATTTCTTAGGCATCCATGTCAAATGGAACAAATTGGTGTTTTTTTTTTGTTCCACCCCACCATTCCTCCTTCTGACACACAAAAGCAGCTTCAATAGGTAATGAATTTACCTATTTGGGGGTTTGAGTAGGACCAAAGCTGCTAATTTGGAGAAGAATTGCTCCTTTGGTCTCCCAATTTGCACGTAAATCCTGCACCTGGAGGGAGAGGCTGCAGCAACCCTAAGGAGACGCTCGGGGTGTCTTATTGTATGCACAGGTCAGACACAGGGCCAAATAGTGTTTGACATCTTTCTTGTAACCAGGCCACCAAAAGGAACGTGATCAAAGTTATGTCTTCAAAACCTCAAAATGCCCAGAAAGTTTGGAGTTATGAACCATCTTGAGGGCTTCAAACCAAGCAGATTTCAGTTATATAGAGACGATGACCTTGAATCCAAAACCCATTCATATAGGCCAGGTTAATGTCCTTTGATGGATGGTTAAGAAGTGGGTCATGATCATAAACGCCTCCCTTGAGAAGGCTCAAGAATGTCTTAGAACCTATGGACCCTAGGAAGTTCTTTTGAGGCAGGATTGTGCATTCAGAGTTGTTTTTCCTGGAGAAGCCCAGACAAAATTCATGATAAGGCACCAGTATTACCATTTCTTGACCCAGGTCAATACGAGATAATAAAATCGAACCTGGAAATCAACAGTGACCAACATGCTTGTCTAGAAGACAATCTATTGGTAGAACAAATAAGTTCTAGATTTCTATGATCAGTGAGAACAGTTACAGGATGAATAACCTCCTCCAGCAGATGCCTCCATTCGGAAAAAGCTTCCTTAATTGCAAGCAACTTCTTATTCCCAATTTTTATAGTTCTTTTCAACTGAAGACATTGAGTGAGAAAAATTTGCACAAAGTTGAAGCTGCATCCTTTTTCCTTTTTGTTGAGAAAGGATAGCTCCCACGGCAGAATATGAAGTATCCACTTCCACAATAAAAGGTAGTTCAGGATTGGGTTGTACCAATGTTGGTGCAGAAGTGAAAAGAGTCTTTAGCTTACTAAAGGTAGTCTGTGCCTTAGGTGACTATACAAAGGGTATCCCTTTCTTGTCATTTGCAAAATTGGTGCTGTCACCTTCAAAAAATTCCTTATGATCTTCCTGTAGAAGTTGGCAAATCCAAAAAATCATTGTATTTCCTTAAAGTTTATAGGTACAGGCCAATCCACCATTGTGCTGATCTGGAACTGGATCTGGGTTAATTCAAACTCACTTTTCTCCAGTTTGATGTAAAGTCAGTTCTTCCTTAATCTTTCAAAGACAGCGCAAACATGCTTGCGATGATCCTCCAAGTTAAAAAGACAAGAATATAATCACATCCAAATATGTAATCACAAACTGGTCCAATAGATCTTAAAAAACATCATTAATGAAGTGCTGAACAGTTGTAGGAGCATTGCAAAGCCCAAAAGACAATCAAACACTCGAAATGCCAATATCTGGTTCTGAAGGCAGTCTTCCATTTGTCTCCTTGACAAATGCAGACAAGCCCATATGCCCCCCACAATTCTTTCAAGGAGTTTATAGATTCAGACCTGGGCCCTAACAATGGGCAACTAAATGCTTTTTATAATGTTCAGAAAGCTGTAGTAGCCTCTCTTTTCTTACTTTTCACTTGTGCTGCTTGTCAATGCTGCCAGAGAATAGAGTCTGATCTATAGGGTTAGATTCTATCTGGTTCTAAATTGAGCATAACTAGATAAAAACTTTGCTTCACTTCCCTTTTTTCCTTTCAGAAGCCTTGAAAATGTCAACCTTTTTATATCATGTGATTGCTTTGCAATAGTGTCAGGGCTCCGGGTATGACCAGAGGTGTGTGGACCGACACAGGGAAACACAGACTTCAGGTATAGCATGTAAAACAATATAATTTATTAAGGGCAACACAAACATAAACGCAGTGTAACAAACCAAACCCAAAACTAACACAAATACGTACAACAAGGTGCAACAAACCCAAACCTTAACTGATATATATATATATATAAATATAAATATGGAGCACAACGTCGTCAGGTGGGCCGGGTCGGTAGCTAACGGGCAGACAAGGTACAAGTAGTAGGCAGAAGATTGGTCAGGAGTAGCCGAGGTCGGTGCAGGCAGATTTCAAGCAGAGTCAGGATAAAGCAGAGTCAGGATCAGGCAGGAAGCAGACAGGATGCAGGTACAGGGGCTCATGGGAACAATACACCAAGGCCCTGAGTGCAGGCCTGGCCATTCCTTAAATACACCTCCTGCAATCAGCCTCAGGTGATGGCTTGATTGCAGGAGTGAGCTTCTGGCTGCTGAGAGCACCCGCTGGCCAGCCCTGGTACCACAGCCCACAAGGCAGGTGAGTCCCACCACCATTGGCGAGTCCATTCCTGACAGTACCCCCCCTCAAGGAGCGGCCTCAGGATGCTCCAAACAGTCAGTAAGGGCACATTGGGCTGGGCAGCAGGCACAGGCACACCGGCTGGGCAGCGGGCAGAGGCACACCGGGCTGGGCAGCGGGCACCGGCCCACCGGGTGGGGCAGCGGGCACCGGCCCACCGGGCGGAGCACCGGGCACCGGGCCATCAAGCTCGACAGCGGGCACCGAGTCATCTGGCACGACAGCGGGCACCGAGTCATCTGGCGCGACAGCGGGCACCGAGTCACCAAGCTCGACAGCGGGCACCGAGTCACCAAGTTCGACAGCGGGCACCGAGTCATCTGGCACAACAGCAGGCACCAGGTCACCAAGCTCGACAGCGGGCACTGAGTCACCAAGTTCGACAGCGGGCACCGAGTCATCTGGCACGACAGCGGGCACCGGGTCACCTGGCACGACAGCGGGCACCGAGTCATCTGGCACGACAGCGGGCACCGGGTCACCAAGCTCGACAGCGGGCACTGAGTCACCAAGTTCGACAGCGGGCACCGAGTCATCTGGCACGACAGCGGGCACCGGGTCACATGGCACGACAGCGAGCACCGAGTCATCTGGCACAACAGCGGGCACCGAGTCACCAAGCTCGACAGTGGGCACCGAGTCGCCTGGCACGACAGCGGGCACCGAGTCACCAGGCACGGCAGTGGGCACAAGGTCATCTGGCAGGACAGCGGGCACCGGGTCATCTGGCAGGACAGACAAGACAGCGGGCACCGGGGTGTCAGGCTGGACCGTGGGCATCAGGCTGGACTGTGGGCACCGGGGCGTCAGGCTAGACCGCGGGCACCGGGGCGTCAGGCTGAACCGCGGGCACCGGTTCATCCGGCGGGATCAGGTCATCCGGCTGGATCGGGTCATCAGTCCGGGTAGGATCATCAGGCCGGGTAGGATCATCAGGCTGGGTAGCGTACACTGGGTCATCAGGCATCCGGGCATCAGGCTGAACAGCGGGCACCGGGGCACCAGGCTGGATAACAGAAGGCGGGTTCTCAGACCGCAGGCTGACCGGTTTGGATACTGGCAGGATGGTGCTGGTTGGAAAAAATTTTTCGCTTCTTTTTGTTTTTTGTTACTGGAGCACTGTAAGTAAACGCAGGTCTGTAAACGGAGGGAGCAGCTTCTACAGATGACTTCTTTACAGGGTTAAAGGAAGGATAGGTGCAGCGAGTGGGAACAGGGGACTGACATGTGGTTGATAGCAGGGTATACTGGGCTGTCACTGGGGGTGCTGTGGGAAATGGAGGAAGAGAGCTTTGAGCAGAGGAATGATTAGAAGCAGGACTGGGTTGTTGCAAGCTGACTGAGGCTGGGTGTAACAAATCTGACCATGACTGTAGTATTGGTTGAACAAAGCTCAGCTTACACAAAGCCTGTCTGACCAAAGAATGCACTGCGTTTATACAATCCACTAGCACCTGTTGTGAACATGCTCAATAATGCTCCCAGAAGCAATCCGGATCATCCTCCAACAACCATACCAGTGACTCTACTTGGTCTGCACTAAATGGCGGCAAAAAGTCATCCCTGCTTTCAGGGGTACTAGATGAAGCCAACTCCGCACAAGCCTGAATCAATGGTTGCATCTCAGAGAACTCCGTGCCCTGATCTACTAGGAAATGAGCGATCCGTATGCATTCTAGCAGCTGATCCCTGGTATACTCCTTCAGAGTCTGATAGGCATATTCTCTGTCATCTAAGACTAGCAGAGACAAATACACAACCTCCTCAGGGTGCATCCTTCCCAACAACAAGCCAAGATGGCTTCCCTGTGCAGCCACTTCTGGTCAGGACTGGCCTTGGTGTAATGTCAGGGCTCCGGGTATGACCAGAGGTGTGTGGACCGACACAGGGAAACACAGTCTTCAGGTATAGCGTGTAAAACAATATATAATTTATTAAGGGCAACAAAAACATAAACGCAGTGTAACAAACCAAACCCAAAACTAACACAAATACGTACAACAAGGTGCAACAAACCCAAACCTTAACTGATTTTTATATATATATATATATATATATATATATATATATATATAAATATGGAGCACAACATAGTCAGGCGGGCCGGGTCGGTAGCTAACGGGCAGACAAGGTACAAGGAGTAGGCAGAAGATTGGTCAGGAGTAGCTGAGGTTGGTGCAGGCAGAGTTCAAGCAGAGTCAGTATCAGGCAGGAAGCAGACAGGATGCAGGTACAGGAGCTCATGGGAATAGTACACCAAGGCCCTGACTGCAGGCCTGGCCATTCCTTAAATGCACCTCCTGCAATCAGCCTCAGGTGATGGCTTGATTGCAGGAATAAGCTTCTGGCTGCTGAGAGCACCCGCTGGCCAGCCCTGGTACTGCAGCCCACAAGGCAGGTGAGTCCCACCACCATTGGCGAGTCCATTCCTGACAAATAGTAATCTTTGTTCTTAATTTTGATGATACAGTATGTTTTTCAGATTGCCAACCAATTGTTTCATGATATTTCCACCTCTCTTCCACCAGAATCCCTCATTGCCATCGCCATCATCATAGTCATTTTTTTAATAGGAAATACAGCAATAGGCCTCGAGATGGAGCTAAGTATTTTTGGAAATTTATATGATATTTAGCTCCATCTAGTGACCAAATGTTGTACTTTCCTTTTAAAGTAATAATTTACATTTAAACAGCACAGGATACAATCTATTTACATTCTTTTTTTTTATTTTTTGCCCCATTCACAAAAAACATGCATTGCATTCACTTAAAAAAAAATTACCTGAAAGGGGGTTTATCTCACTTCTTACTCTAGTAATAACCAAGAAAGTTTTGAGTATACATACACTTTAAATACAGTCTACAACAACAGCTGCTGCTCCAAAAAGGCAAACTTGGCTTGCAGATTGCTACCCAATAAGAAATTTAGAATGCATTCTGTGTCACTATCAGTTAGAGCATGCAGAGCAAGAATAGTCTAGATTGGGGAACTCAGTGTAGCACTACCCCTTAGGAATTGCTTAAGTTTTGGGTCCCCCTATAGTCCTGCACGACCAGGTGACACACATTTCCACACAGGCTTGCAACCAGAGTCAGAAATCAGTCCTTGAGGTTTGGTTTTGTTATTTTTATTTAGGGGATTTAAACTGCGATAGGGTTATGGGTGTACAGGATGCCCAAGGGAACTGAAGACAAGTTCCTGGAACTATTTACAAGTCTTCGCTGCAACACAGTCTCTGTTGGAGAGCTAGCCAGTGTCTCCTTAATGTACCACCCCAGACCCTAGATGATCTCCTCTTCCTTCACCCAGGAATCTGAAGGTATCCCTGAACAGGGGATCCGGTTCCTATTGCTTTACAAAATGGACAGTCCCAGATAGGTGGCAAATCTGGTTTCCCACCAGAGTGTTTCTTCCCCTATCCACCCAGTGGGTTGCAGGGGTGCTCACTCTGATTCTCTCCTGTACCACTGATGGGTCGGTGGCTGCTACTAGGTCTTTTAGCTAGGCTGTTCCTTCCCTACTGTACAGATGGGTCTCGCTCTGAGAGCCAGTGAATCTCTGAGCTTTCTTCCTTTCCAGCTCTGCTGCCTGTAGGTGAGCCCCTCTCTCCATCTGGGCCCCCTCCCAGGCTTCTGCCTTCAGCCTCATATCTTCCTCACTGTCTTCCACCCAAACTCTCCTGCAGCTGAGCAGGCTTACTTATTTTTAAGGATTGTTCTTGTCCCTTACCAAGCCTCCTGTTGGGGTTGGCTAGAATCCCTCAAGGGTACAAGTCAGCCACTCCTCAGATCCACCAACTGTCTCTAGGCCTTCCTCCAAAGCTCTACAGCAGGGTGAAATTCCAGAGGGGCTGGCCTGCAGAGCCTCTCAGGGCCTGACCCAAATTTGACCTCCTGACTATTACACCCAGGCTGCTACTCAGCCCTTCTCTCTAACAATTAGATTCTAGCTCCCCCTACCTAACTAGGAGGGTGCTACATTAGGATGCTCCATAGGGCTGAGCACATGTAACTGAGATCTGGCTGGAAACAATTAGCCCAACACCCACAATATATTAAATAAATGGGCTGCATGGTGGCTAAGTGGTTAGCACTTCCACCTATCAGCACTAGGGTTGTTGGTTTGAATTCCAACCATGGCATTACCTGCCTGGAATTTGCATGTTCTCCCTGTGCCTTTGTGATTTTCTTCCCACACTCCAAAGTCTTGCAAAGCATAATCTAATTTGCTCCTGCTGGGAAAAAAAATCCTTCTTGATCCCCTCCGAGAGGCAATCGGATATTCCCTGGATCAACTTTACCTATAAATGTTAGTATCCAGTTATATTCTGTGTATCTAAGAAACAATCCAGTCCTTTTTTGAAACAATCCATTGAGCTGGCCAGAACCAACTCTTGAGGAGTCTATTCCACATTTTCACAGATCTCACTGTGGAGAAACCTTTCCGTGTTTGGAGATTACATTTCTTTTCCTCCAGACGTAAAGAGTGACCCCTTGTCCTCTGTGATGACCTCAGGGTGAATAGCTCTACATCGAGTCCACTTTATGAACCACTGATGTAATTATACATGTTGATCATATCCCCCCTTAATCTTTCCTCATAGCTGATCTCTTCCATGCCTCATATCAGTTTAGTTGCCCTTCTCTGTACTTTCTCCAGTTCCCCAATGTTCTTTTTGTGAATTGGTGCCCAAAACTGAACTGCATATTCCAGATGAGGTATTTGCTAATGATTTTTATTGGGGTAAAATGATATCTCTCTCTCTGGAGTCTATACCTCTTTTAATACAAGAGAGGATTTTGTTCGGTTTAGAAACCGCAGCTTGGCATTGTATGCCATTATTAAGCTTGTGATCTACCAGAACTCCCAGATCCTTCCATTGATTCCCTCAGTTGTACCCCCCTAGTATGTATGATGCATGCATATTCTTAGCCCCCAAGTGGATAACCTTACATTTATCAACATTAAACCTCATTTGCCACATAGTTGACCAATTAAACAGTGCATTGAGGTTGGCTTGTACGTTATTCCACTGCACAGCTTGGTGTCATCTGCAAAGACTGAAATGGGACTTTTAATCCCAGACCCTATATTGTTTATAAATATATTAAAAAGTAAGGGTCCCAACACTGAACCTTGGGGTACACCACTGACAACCTTAGACCATTCACAGTATGAATCATTAACCACTACTCTTTGAATACCATCTTTTAGCCAGTTTTCTAGCCATTTACATACAGATTTTTCCAAGCCCGTAGACTTTACCTTACACATTAGCCGTGTGTGGGGAACTGTGTCAAAAGCTTTTGCAAAATCCAAGTATACCACATCCACCGCCACCCCTCTGTCCAAGTATACCACACCCACCGCCACCCCTCTGTCCAAGTATACCACGTCCACAGCCACCACTCTGTCCAAGGTTTTGCTCACCCCTTTATAAAAAGAAATCAGATTTGTTTGAGAACTTCTGTCTTTCATGAATCCATGCTGTCTGTTGCATAACTCATCTATATGATTCTTTTATTAAACTCTCCAGTATCTTCCCAACTACATAAGTTAAACTAACAGGTATATAATTACTTGGTAAAGATTCTAACCCCCTTTAAATATTGGCACCACATTGGCCTTACGCCAATCCAGTGGTACTATGCCAGTCATTAAGGAGTCCCTAAAAATGAGAAACATTGGCTTTGAAATGACAGAACTCAAATTTTTAACCACCTCCCACCCGCTATATAAGGCAATGATGGGCACAAGGCGGTTCTCTCGTTCTGGGAGGATGTCATATGACTTCCTCCCACTCTAACCGCGCATGCGCAGCTCCGGGAGCGCGCAGCGTGGCGATCGGTGGTGCGCTGTGTTCCTCGGACACAGCGGATCACCGATCAACAGAAAGAAACCGGAAATGTCGGCTTGGTCATGTGATCAGCGGTGTCCAATCACAGCTGAACACATGTAAATAGGGAAAAGCCGGTTATCGGCATTTCTCT